TCGGTTCGCACTGAGAATGAAAGAGTCATGATCATGACTAAAATTTTGGGTGAGGAATTCTTTATTACCCAAATTTGGGTGAGGAAATTTTCCTCGCCCAAATTTGGGTGAGGAAAGTTTCCTCACCCAAATTTGGGTCATAATACCATGGAGCTATATAGGCATCTAATACACCCTTCCTCACCCAAAATTGGGCGAGGAAGCTTTCCTCGCCCAAATTTGGGTGAGAAAGTAAACCTCGCCCAAAATTGGGTATTGATCATGACTTTTTCATTCTCAGTGCGGTTAGCGACTCTGCAGCTCAAAACGCGTTTGTCTTTCAGCCGCCTCCACCGGTCTTCTGGCCCACTGTGCCTCCGAGGCCCTGCCCCTGGCGTGCCCTGGTGGAGGCCGAGGCCCGGCGGTGCGGGAGCGAAATTTAACGACAGCGTCTGGGACTAATTAAGGGAGACGCCACACTCGGACGGGGACTCCGGTCCGGGACTCCCTGGACACGCGCCAAGACACTGTGCCGCCGCTCCTACGACTTCGCGCGCCGATTTATGTAATTAATTTCCAAGGAGACAAAAATACTGACAAAAAAGGGGGGGAAACGGTGGGTGGAAAAAAAGTGGCGGGGCGAGCCGGCGAGAGAAAACAATGTGACAGCAACAATAATACAATCGATAGATAACGAAAGTTGGAGAAAAGGCGGCCAGGGGCGGCTAGGGCGGGGCAGGGCCGGCAGGGCCGCGGGGAGATGATTTATATCCCAATGGAAGTAGTCAAAGCCCACGGCGCGCCGTGGCGGTGCCATCTGTTTTTGTAATTCCCCCTCCCCGCCTCTTCGCCGTGCTTCTCGCGGCACAATTGCTATCAATTTCAAGTTGAGCGTCATCGAACTCGAGACAGCGGCGCCACTCCTGCTGGTTCACTGCTGTGTCGCGCCAGCCGTCGAGCCTTCCATTCAATTAGAGCAAATTCGGCGCAGGCCGGGCAAGGCGCTGCGGAGCGAGACAGACAGACATTCCTTTCTGGTGGCGGCCCCAGCTCGCTCGGATCAGAAATAATAATATCAGCGAGGCCAGCCAGCAGCCCACACAGGCAGCGGTAAAAGTTTCCGCTGTTTCCTCTGCCGGCGTCTTGGAGGTCTTCAATATCCTTTTCCAATCCGTCCGTGGCTGCCGTTGCTGGCATTGCTGGCATTGCCGCACCGTTCGTTCTTCGTTCCAGGAGCTCGGGCCAATCCGACGCGATAGGCAAACTCCGAGTGGACCGCTGTTGCGGCGATATCACGAATCCCCGTACTGCCTGCCTGCCTGCCTGCCTGGCTGCCTGCCTGGCTGCCTGCCTGCCTGGCTGTCTGCCTGGCTGCCTGCCTGGCTCTCCAGGCCCTTTGGAAAGAAGCGGGAAGCCCTTTGGAGTCTGGGCTAGGCAGCCAGACTGGGCCGACGGTTGAGGCCAGGGACTGATGAGCTTACATAGACCAGCCTTGTATTTTGTTGGCGGATCCCTCTCCCCGTCGGGGGGCCCCGGCCGTGCCTCGCCCCGTGCCGCCCTGCCGTCGGGTTCGGCGGGTTTGGCTGGCTCGGGTTGGCCGGCCCGGACGCTGCGGCCGCCTCCAAGGTTCGTGAGCTGAATATATTGGCACAAGCTTGGCGACCGCTGCCGCATCTTGCTCAGTCACTCACAGTGTGGCGGGGGGAGGTGGAAGCGCGTCACGGATACACGAAAATCGCGGCTGCAGTCTTCATCTTTGGTCTGCACCCACAAAAACGTTTCCTCGATTCGATAAAATTTAGATACAAAGGATTTACTTTCTTAGAATCAGGAAAGACTTTCTCTGAATAAAACATGGCGCCTTCCGTCCTGAAAAATTCTTCCCTCAACCTTAAGTTTAAATAAAACATTTCTTTGCAACTACACTGTGAAAACTGTTTCTGGTTTTCCCAGGAACTCCCTCCCTGGGAATCGCCTGTACCTTCACCATTGGCCTCCTGGGAAAACCGGGATCCGTTTCTACCGTGTAATTTAAAGAAATTCCCGTCGAAGAGTCAGATAAAAGGTTTTTCTGGCGAGTGCTTGCTGTGCCAATCGGCGAGTTTCAATATCCGAAACGACGAGGGTTAGCAGCGACTGTGCCGCGGCGCGCGCGGAACAAGGTTTAAACTTTTTGAAAGGACCCAAATTGGAACTTTTTAAGTCATTATCAAAGCGGCGCGTGGTCCGCGCCGTGACTGTGCCCGAGAGTTGGAGGGAAGGATTATTGAATGACCGTTTGGAATGTTTGCAGAGAGCCACGACGAGGGGGAATTAATACCGGTCTGTGTCTGAGTGCGGCGGTGTGTGTGTGTGTGTGTGTGTGTGTTTGTGTGTGTGTGTGTGTGTGTGGGTGGGTGTGTGTAGGTGTGTGTAGGTGTGTGTGTGGGGTGTGGGGGGGGGGTGTATGTGTGTGTGTGTAAGTGTAGGTGTGTGTGTGTGTGGGTGGGTGGGTGGGTGGGTGTGTGTGTGTGGGTGTGATAGGGGCGGGTCCCTGTGTGTAGCACTCACCCGCAGAGAGCACAGTGCCGATGGATGAGCCACTGACCCCGAGCCCCGCCGGTCAACCTGGCATGGCGTGGTCCTCTCTCCAGGGGAATGGAGGCGAGAGCGTTGGCGAGAGCGCGCGGATAGCGAAACCCCCGCCGAAGTAACGAAGTAACGCGGCGGACGAGCCAACGAATATCGAGATTTACGACAGCGCGGTTTTTAAAAGCGCGCGCGCGTCGCATTCGCATCAAAGGAACCTCAGGCGAATGAGAAACTGCGCGCATGTGTGTGTGTGTGTGTGTGTGTGTGTGTGAGTGTGTGTGTGTTTGTGTGAGTGTGTGTGTGTTTGTGTTAGTGAGGGAGTGAATGCATCCCCACAGGTGTGGACCGGACCAGCATCGGACGGAATCAATTCTTTAACGTCGCCCATAACATCGGCGACGAGCCGCACGGACATGAGTAGGTATGAATGGCGGCTCCGACGCCCTCCGCGCCGCGCCGCTTTACGAATCAAATATTGAAGCGGACCGTCATCGCGAGTCGGCATTCCTCCGCGGACACACTGTCTGTCTCTCTCTCTCTCTCTCTCTCTCTCTCTCTCTCTCTCTCTCTCTCTCTCTCTCTCTCTCTCTCTCTCTCACTCGCACGCCGCGACGCGCGAGCGCATAGATGGAAAAAGCGGCCGTTGGACGTCGGCGCTGCACACGCCCGCCTCGCAATAACCAATATTTCAAGCTTTGGATGAAAGCCTCCGCATTCAGAGAGCCAGGCAGACTAGATTACGGCATTGTTCGCGGAGGGCCGGCAGGGCCGGCAGGGCCGCGCGGCTGCACACAAGGGCCGAGCAAAAAAGGGGAAAGGTCGTTAACGCCCTCGACACCTTAAGTTACTCATTAAGGGCGCGAGGGACTGCAAGGGACTGGGAGGCACACGGGAAGTTTGCCGCATTAACGGCACCCTTTCTCGGTCGGCGGCATAGCATAGCAGTCGATTTGGCGCCCCTCTGGCTGCGTCCTGTCGCGCGACCCCGCGCCACAGTGGATTTGCCAGAGGACCGGTGGAGGCGACCTAAAGTCTAGACGCGTTTTGAGCTCCAGAGCTCGACAGGACTCAAACCGAGCGTGTGACCCGAGGTGTGACCCCACCAATAGATTCCTCGTTCGGAGAGCAATCCATCGGTGGGGTCACACGCTTGATTTGGGTCTTGTTTAGCGACTCTGGATCTCAAAACACGTCCGGGATTGGGGCCGCCTCCACCGGTCTTCTGGCCCACTGTGCTCTGGGTGCGAGAGAGACATGCGGCCTTTCTAATGCCGGCTAGCAGCGACCACGTGACCACGCACACGACACTCGGCCGGAATTGGAATTCATTCCCCGGCAAGTTTGTTTGGCGATAAATCCAGGGAGGAAGGGCGGCTTGACTGGCGGGGCAAACGGGCAAACGCAGAACAAAGTACTTGTATCCTCCGCACGTCGTGGCGGGGCGGGGCGGGGCGGGGCGGGGCGGGGCGGGGTACGGAGCCGACCGGCGCATACATCATATCTCCACGCCTCTCTGGCTTTCCTGACCCCTGTCAACCGACGTGGTGTGCAAAGCAGTGCCGAGGAAGCCACCCCGCCCCGAGCCGCACAGCGCCGCACAGCGCCGCACAGTGGGCGGAAGGGCCCCGCGCGAGGCTAGCGGCGCCCTGTGACGCCCCGTGGCGCCCTGCGCGAGGCTAGGCCCCTCTCCCTTTGGCGGCGCGGCCCTCCACGTCCGGCCCAGCGCCAGCGTGCCAGCCTGCTATCTGCGAGGCAAAGCGTGGCAAAGCGTGGCAAAGCGTGGCAAAGCGTGGCAAGCCCTGACGGCGGGCGCCGGGCCCCGGGCCCCGGACCGCCCCGCGCCGCCCCGCGCCGCCCCGCGCCGGGCTGACGGACGGCTGAATGGCGAGCCCCGCATGCACCCTCGTCGGCCTCGTCGCCGTGTGTACACGTCTCACACACACACTGTCGCGGCCCGGGTGTTGTGCGGCTAGTTTTATGCATAGTGGCCCGGCATCAAGCGCGCCTGTGTGAGTACTCTCTCTCTCTCTCTCTCTCTCTCTCTCTCTCTCTCTCTCTCTCTCTCTCTCTGAGTCTGTGTGTGTGTGTGTGTGTGACGAGGGTGGCAGAGCGGCAGCGACCTCATTGCGACACGACTACAAGTTTGCCGAATCGCCAATACCAAACCATTAATGCGGTTTGTCTGAACAAACACACACTCACACACACACACTCAGGCACGCACGCGCAAACACACACACACTCATGTTGTGTGTACTTGGCACCCCGCGCCAGTGCATCTGGGTCAACACCGCCAGACTTCCTAAGCACTAATTTGCTACCCTTGATTCGATATCGACCAAAACCGTGTAGCTCTTGTGCAATGAACACAGCCTGTGGAATTAGGTTCATGCACTATGTGGCAAAAGTCGAACAATAGACATGCTCTTTCGGTCTCGCAGGCCACTCACCTTGCGCCGGCGTGTAGATGTTGAGGTAGAGGCAGTCCTCGCTCTGGGAGCGCAGGAAGGGCATCAGCCTCCGCAGCTGCAGCAGCCGGCCCCGCGGCATCTTCTCCATGGCGGCGGTCTCGTTGGCCAGGTCGGGGACGCGCTGCGGACAGGCCGGGCGCACGCGGTCCGCGAAGCGCACCTCGTCCCAGGGACTGGGCGCGCGCGTGGGGCTGAAGCGGTTGCCGCCGACGGGCGGCGTGGCGTACGGTACGCCCAGGAAGGCCTCGACGGGCTGCAGGGACTTCTGGCCGGCGCCCGCGCCGTCCATGGACAGGATGAGTCCCTGCAGGGGGCCGGAGCGCGTATGCACCACGCGGGGGCTGCGCAGTGCGGGGCCGCCGGGCAGCATGCCGTCGGGGTGGTGGCTGCCGGGGTCCGGCTCGGGGACGGGGTTGGGGTGCGGCGACGCCTCCGGCACGGCCTCCGGCACGGCCTCGGGCACGGCCTCGGGCACGGCGTCCGGCTCCGCCATCGGGCCGTGCATGCCGCCATGCTGCCCCTGGGGCTCCGCGGCGGCCTGCTGCGGCCCCGCACTGCTCTCGGCCTCGGCCACGGCCCGGGCCACCAGCACCAGCACGGTCCACAGGAGCATCATCCGCATCGCCACTGTGGAGGGGTGGCCTCTCCCTCCACCTCGGCCTGCCACGGCCCCGGCCACCGCGCCGGCCACCTCATGCTGGCCTGGAACAAACAGAAACAAACATGTTAATGGTTTTCACACAATCGGCAGCTCCTTTTTTCTCAGCAGTCCGCCGCGTTGCGGCCGGCCGCACACAAAGAGTCCCGCCATCCGGGTCGTCCACGCGCCGACGACCCATCAATGATACAGAGAGCGCTCTCGCGGTGCCGCGGAACGCCCCGCCCCGCCCCGCCGCACCCCGCCGCACCCCGCCTCGCCCCACCCACGGAGCTCAGCCAGCAGCACAGCCCACACGTGCACAAACACATTATTCAAGACGCGTCTGCGCGCCGCTTTATACCAGCAGCAAGTGCAACACACACACACACACACACACACACACACACACACACACATACATACATACATACACACACACACACGCACGCCGGCGTCCTTCTTTCCCATTTCCTGCCTGATGTAAATTTACTGCCATTGTGGTCGCGAATCAAGGCGGGGGTCAGTACCCTCCCAGTGCCCCGCAAGCAGGTAGTATTTATCATCCACGGACCACAAAGCAGCGGCGGCACGGGGTATCGCCCACGACGCTACCCCGCGCCTTGGCCGAGTCACCGGCCGCATTCCGACTCTCTCTCTCTCTCTCTCTCTCTCTCTCTCTATCTCTCTCTCTGTGTGTGTATGTGTCTCTGTCTCTCTCTCTGTCTGTCTCTCTCTCTCTCTCTCTCTCTCTCTCTCTCTCTCTCTCTCTCTCTCTCTCTCTCTCTCTCTCTCTCTTCAAGAGAGCACTTGTTCGGAATGGTGCGCCTCAATCCCGTGCGCGGCAAGCGCGGCAGGGACAAAGTGCCTGCAACGCTATTATCACCATGATTAAGGCGGTACACTGTGGAGGGCCCCTCCAGCTACTTGGCCTCTTAGTGGTTCTCCTCGAGGAGGACCGAACAATGAGCAGACGCCGCGGCAGACGCTACCCCCTCCCCCCCCCCCCGGGGGAGGCCGCAGGCACCGCGAAGAACGCATCCCCCCGCAGCCGCCGCCGCTACCGCGCCGCCCTGCAGGCCACACCACACACCCCCTCGAGGCAGATCTGCTTCAGCGAGGCGATTCCATGCACCGCACGTACCGCCGCCCCCTTTGCCGGTTCGCTCTCGCTGGGAGAGAGAGAGAGAGAGAGAGAGAGAGAGAGAGAGAGACAGAGAGAGAGACAGAGACAGAGAGAGAGAGAGAGAGAGAGAGAGAGAGAGAGAGAGGGAGGGAGAGGAGTCGCCCTAGAGACTCCCCCTGCCCGACATCCCCCGGCTACCCCTCGACTTCGTCTCCCTCCTCTCTTCCCCCGCCCTGACCTCCGCCAACGCGCTTCCCCCTCTCTCTCCCTCTCTCTCTCTCTCTTTCTCCCTCTCTCTCTCTCTCTCTCTCTCTCTCTCTCTCTCTCTAACAAATACGCCGAGGGTCCACTGAGCTCCTTCACTCAGCACCCCACCCCCTCGCATTTGGCGCCACGTCAAAAAGTCCCCCTCCCCCCTCTTTCTCCGCAGTGCTTCCGAACGCTTACTTTTTTGCATAAATCTCAATTTGCTGGGGCGGCCGAAAGGCCGCGCGTCGCTGTTCGTGGAAGGGTCAGCGCGCGGTGGAAAGCCAGGAACTGGACGGTCTGCCCCCTCTTCCAAAAGCCATGCGACCACACGCCGACCAGGAGTCAAGCATACTTCGAAAATAAAGGACGTAATAAAATCAGGAACGTGATAAAAATTTAAAAGTTAAATCTGACGAAGTCCTTTATGCCCTGGCCGTATTTCGGACTCCGATCGAACTATGACTAGCAATGTTTCCGGTTTCGTTCCGAAGGCGTGCGTAGCTGTGACGGAGTAACTGGCTCCCGACCACTGGGGCCGCACAGTCGCCCAGAAGATTGGTGGAGGCGGCCAAAACTTTTGACGTGTTTTGATCTCCAGAGTCGCTAAATAGGACTCGAACCAGCGGTCTGACCTTACCAATGGATAGATCTTCGAACGAGGAATCCATTGGTGTGGGGTCACAGGGGTCACACGTTCGGTTCTGGCCCCATTTAGCGACTCTGGAGCTCAAAACCCGTCCGGGGTTGACCGCCTCCCTCCGGTCTCTGACCTACTGTGGGCCGGGCGGGCCGGGCCGCCGCAAGAGTGCTGAATCACTTACACCCAGACGACGAATGAAGGATGGAGCGGCCACGCCGGGCATGGCGGTCATGGAGGCGGCCGGAACATTCATCTCATTCGCCCGGGCGGGCCTAGCAGCCCTAGGGCTGCCCTAAGGCCCCCACCCCACGGCCGCCACGCCACCGCCACGCCACCGCCGCCACGTCACGTTCATACGTCACGGCAAAGTTGGACACCATTACGAAAAGGAGAACAAGTCGCGGTCATCCCCGAGAGCGAGAGAGACGGGGAGAGGGGCGAGGACGGCGCCGCGCTGCAGAGAGCCCCGACAGCAGCAGCAGCAGTCTGAAGGGGTGTGAAGCAGCCGGGGCTTTCTCTCGAGAGCAGATCGCCAGGGGTCCACCCCGCCCCTCGCCGCCCCGCCCCGCCCCGCCCCGCCCGGACCAAGCGACGCGCGCAAGTTTTGATCCCCGTCCAGCAGTTCCCCCTTCCAGCCCGGCCACCCTCCCCGCCTTCCCCTCCCTGACGCCTCCTATGAGACACTGCGGAGTGCTTCCGGTCCCCCTGATGCCCCCTGGTCCCCCACCGCGCCGCGAGGACTCGGGGGCCCTCGAGCCCAAGGACACGGAGAACACCTCAGACTCTTCTTGGCTTGCTTGCTTCCCCCGGCGCTGCCCCAGCCCCCCGCCCCTCCCCGCGGAGGCCCCCCGCCGCGGAGCGCCCCCCCCCCTCCCCCCTGTTGTGCGGTGTGACGCCACGGCTACGCGCTACGCACTCTGACGTCCAAATTACTGTCCGGGTAATGAACTCCCCCGCCCCTACATTATTACCGTCATCGTGCCCCCGGCTCGGCCCCCTGCACCCCATTGGCTGCGACTATCCGGCACGACACGGCCAGAAATCCGAACACAACACGCTCTTCTTGTCGTCGCCAGTGAAATATCCGGGGAGATGCCATCTGCAGCAGCCTGGCCGGCGCCCTGGTGGAGGCGGTCGAGGCCCTAGTGGTGCACCATGGCCGCCATGTCGGCGGCGGGGCGGCCTTCACTGGCCGGCTTATCCGCAGGGATCGGCCGCAAGGCTGCCCGCGGCCGCCCAAGCCTGCCCAAGGCTACCCACGACGGCCATGGCCGCCGAGGCACGAATTATGTCGTGTACGGACACTGCGGACGCAGCCGGTGACAGCCTCCGACGAGCAGCCCCGGGCACTAGGCCGAAATCACTCGAAAATAGTCGATAAATCGAGACAAATCGTTAGATCAAAAATAATCATTTAATCGAAAATAACCGTATCGAAAATAATCGACCAATCGACAAGAATCGACTAATCAAAAACAATCGACTTATCAAAAATGAAGATGATAAACCGGTGACCGGTTTTCGATGGTCACAGTTAATTTTCTCCTCCAAAAAACGTAATTACAGTAACTTTTGTCACCTCAATAAAAGCTTCAGAATGCCTGCAATCACTTTTTCAAATTTCTGAGCTTTGTTCCGTTCTCTTCACTTCATGTTTCATCAATAAATCAGATCATTTCGATCAATCGTATATGATTTTGGTTTCCAAAATGCTAATTGACAGTAATCTCGATAATCCATCGACTGATTCCGAGAATTACCAGTACCGCCTCTAGGCCTACCCGGCACTCCGGCGCCAGTCGGTGACGCGACGCAGCACACTGAGAATGAAAAAGTCGAGGGGGAAATCACTCCTAAAACCTGCGACCCGACTATTACGCCTATAACGCTCTATTACGCCTCAAATTATAGGGATTTAGCTGAAAACAGACCAAAAAACCCCTAAAATAGATCAAATTTTGAGAATTTCGGCTATTACGCTACTATTACGCACACTACTACGTGTGCTATTACGGACACAGTGACCCGACTATTACGCGAGTGCTTTCCCCCTCGGAAAAAGTCATGATCAATACCCAATTTTGGGCGAGGCATACTTTACCACCCAAATTTGGGCGAGGACGGCTTCCTCGCCCAAAATGGGGAGAGGAAGGTTGTATCAGCATCAGCTACCTATATGGCTCCATAGTATTATGACCCAAATTTGGATAAGGAAACCTTCCTCACCCAAATTGGGCGAGGAAACCTTCCTCCTCCAAAATTTTAGTCATGATCATGACTCTTTCATTGTCAGTGCATGTGCCCAACGACATGCAAACGACTGTCGAGTGATTCCGCTGCCCGCACTCCTCGCTCTGTCTCTCTCGCACTCGAGGAGTGTGCCGAAGGCGTGCGAGAGTGACCGAGCGAGAAGTGCCGGCGCCGCTCGGCGCACTTGGCGTCAAAACGGGCGGCAGGACCAAGGCAGGACCAAGGCAGGACAGGCGACGGCGCGGGACGGGCCGCCGATTTCCACGTCAAGAGAGGAGCCGCCGTCCGGGCCGTCGTGGGGCCCGTCGTGGGGCCCGGCCCGGCCTGCCGGAACCTCGCGGACCTCATTTACCTACTTAGCATTTTAAAACAAATGGAAATGGCGCCCTCACTGGTGAGGAGGAGGAGAAGGGGAAGAAGAAGGAGAATCCCCATGGCTTTCATC